TTCCGATACAATCGCGGGCGCCACTTCGGGGATACCCTGTAAAAGTGGGCTTATTTTCATAATGTCGAAATTCATAATGTCGAAATGTCATAATGGCGAAATTCATAATGTCGAAACTCATAATGGCGAAATTCATATTGTCGAAATTTCATAATGTCGAAATGTCATAATGTCGAAATGTCAGAATGGCGAAATGTCATAATGTCGAAATTCAGAATGTCGAAATTTACATAAGCTAAAATTCCCGGTAAAGTCCCCGAATTCTAGGGAAAAAAATGTTGTCGTGAAATAAGATAAAAAAATAGAATGTGGAAACATTTTTTTGGCGAGGATTTGGCGGTTTCACCGGTAATATTAGCCTATGTAAATTTCGACATTCTGAATTTCGACATTATGAAATTTCGACATTATGAAATTCGACATTATGAGTTTCGACATTATGATACCAATTCGTAAAAGTGTTGTAAAGAAATATCTGAAAAACTCACCTCTTTCGACGTGATGTCCGAGGCTTTCTTTTCCTTAACGGTGACGCTGGGCGGTTGCTGGTTCGTGGGCTCCAGAACATCTTCGGGAAACTCTTCAAACTGCTCCTGCGCCAGCGGATTTCCCGGCAAAATCGCGGCCGCCACTTCGGGAATACCCTGAAAAAGAGTTGTAAAGAAATATGTGAAAAATTCACCTCTTTAGACGTTTCGGTACTGGCCAGTTTCTGGTTGGTGCGCCGCAGAATTTCGCTGAGTAACACTTGAAGCTTCTCCCTTGCCCACGGGGTTTCCGGCAAAATCGCTTCTGCCACCTCGGCGACACTCTAAAAAAAATCCATGAATAAAGCCGCTTCGGAAATTCTAAAAACTCTAAATAAAAAAAACTCACTTCAATCGGTGTTACGGGCCCTGGTTGATAGCCATTGATGGTGACGCGGAAGAAGGCGGGCTGTTCGGCCGAAATCTTCTCCAGCCACTCGCAAAAATCGTTGCCGTCCCTTCGGGCTCTCCAGTATGTGCGCCAGGCCTAAAAAGGACGTACTAGATCAATTTGTGTGCATTTCACCTGAATTGGGTTAAAGGGATAAAGACAGCATAGGGCTAACCAGCCCCTCTGGAGTGGGTTCAACTTTTTGGCACATAGCCAACGGGGATCGAGGGCACGGAGACCCCCCCCCATTCCACGTCGAGAGCGATTGGCGTAAGTCGGCTTATTTTCAAAATGTCGAAACTCATAATGTCGAAATTCATAATGTCGAAATTTACATAATGTCGAAATGTCAGAATGTCGAAATTTACATAAGCTAAAATTCCCGGTAAAGTCCCCGAATTCTAGGCAAAAGAATGTTGTCGTGAAATAAGATAAAAAAATAGAATGTGGAAAAAATTTTTTGGCTAGGATTTGGCGGTTTCACCGGTAATATTAGCTTATGTAAATTTCGACATTCTGACATTTCGACATTATGACATTTCGACATTATGAAATTTCGACATTATGACATTTCGACATTATGAAATTTCGACATTATGAATTTCGACATTATGAGTTTCGACATTATGAATTTCGACATTATGATTTTCGACATTCGGACATTTCGACATTATGATTTTCGACATTATGAATTTCGACATTATGATTTTCGACATTATGATACCAATTCAAACCAAACCAACCTTGCTTTTGCTTGTCTTGTCTGACCGAGAAAGCTGCGCGTTCACCAACTCCATGGGATCGATGCGCTCAACCTTCTCGATGATCCCATCCGTGGTGTGCTGGGCAGCGCAAATTATCGTACCCAAAAATCCGTCACGAATTGGCTGGAAAAAAATTAATCGCCGTAGAAGTGTTGGAGATCAAGGAAACTGATTGCTTGTATTCACACAAGGAGACGCACCCAATTGTGGCGCCGCCAGCCATCAAGCTGATCGACCAGATTCTTGTTAGGTTGAATCCCCCTAATAAAGACGGCCTTGGCGTCAATGGGAGTCCGCCCATCATATCCAACGTGGTCGATCTCGTGGGCGAGCAGGATTGGCGGCCCCTGCTGCGTCTTCACCTCGTCTACATAGTACAAAAAGTGTTTCGTGACACTCGGAGCCTAAACAAATAAAAGTTTTGAAATAGTTTTTTACCCCGATCCGGGCGCTCCTTTCCTGGCTTTCTGAAGTATAATTCGCTTCCCTTGACAAGTACTCCTCCAGGTTACGGCCAATGCATCGTCGTCGTTTCCCGTGACAAACCAACCTGTCGACGGTGTTCACGAAAAGGCGACCTAAAAATAATTCAAAAAATGGGTAACATATTGTGATTTGGTATCATAATGTCGAAAATCATAATGTCGAAATTCATAATGTCGAAATTTCATAATGTCGAAATTTCATAATGTCGAAATTTCATAATGTCGAAATTTCACAATGTCGAAATTTCATAATGTCGAAATTTACATAGGCTAATATTACCGGTGCAACCGCCAAATCCTAGCCAAAAATTTTTTCCACATACTATTTTTTTATCTTATTCCACGATATTCCACGACAACATTTTTTTGCCTAGAATTCGGGGACTTTACCGGGAATTTTAGCTTATGTAAATTTCGACGTTATGAAATTTCGACATTATGAAATTTCGACATTATGAAATTTCGACATTATGAAATTTCGACATTATGAAATTGCGACATTTTGAAAATAAGCCATATATTGTACCTGCGATTTGGACGACAATGATTTCGCTTACATCGTTCGTGTACGGGTTGATGGCCTTGCCAATCTGAAATACCGGACCAAAATAACGCTTTAGAAAGAGACAACGATGCTCATAAGTCGATTACACCCAACCCACATTGAAAAAGTCGCCGGCGCCGCAGAAGAGCCGGGCCGAACCGAAAATGTCATCGATGTGCGCGCCCGATTTGAGTTTTTCGAGGATGAAATTGAGGCGGTGGAGGCAGCCAATCTGGTTGCTGGTATCAGCTTCGAACGTGTCCAACCCGTCGAGTAGGTTCATCCCTAAAACTTGGTCACAATAATAAGCATAAAGCCTCGAAAACTGGCCTTTCAGATTGTCCAGCTCTTGCTCGGGTCGGATTGTAGGCGACAATAGCTCGTCCTCGTTCAGCACCTCCACTTCGCCTTCTAGAACGCGGTAGCGGTGGCGGCGCGTGACCTGAAAATCCATAGTTTATGCCTAAATGAAAGCAAACTAGATAATTAATGGCATAGTAGGCACTATCAGTAAACAACTAAAAGCTAATAACCTTTAACTATAATACAAACCTAAATAACTGAAGTATACTAAGCCTGCTAGCGAATAAAATCACTGACACTACTAAAAACGGTGCTAATGCAGTTAGGGGGGGACTCAAAAACTGGAAGTAACGGGTTACAAGACGCTCCGCTTAAGCTACTTGGTTTTTAGCTTAAGCCTAGGCTTTACTTAGCTTTAACTAAGCTTAGCTTAGGCTTAGGCTTAAGCTTAAACCCAAGCTAAGCTCAACTTGAGCTTTAAATTGCTTTAGGAGGCCAAATTGGGGTCATTTAGGGCTAAGCTTAGAGCTAAGCTTAGCTTGGCCTAAGCTAAGATTAGACTTAGTTTGTATGAAGCTAAGCCTAGGCCGAGGCTTGGCTTGGCTTTTCCAGAGGCTTCGCGTTTAAAAAACGGCATTTGGAGCGTCTTGCAGTCAAAATCCGGACTGCCCCCCCCAAGTGCATTAGAACCCTAAAAACTATGAAGTATTAATAAACTAGTCGTTATCATTATAATACATACTATCACTAGCTAACTAAACACACAAAAAAACCCTAATGAAGCGGTTTATAGCATCAAAATTCACCTCCGGTCGCCAGTTTTCCGACGAAGGCACCATCGCGTAACGCGTGATCAGAGCTGGGCAATTTGAGGACGTTCTGAAAATGTTAAATTCGTTTAAAAAATGGTCGTTTGAAGGCGTATTAAAAGGTATCGATTCAAAACCGAATAATCGATTGAGAAATCACATTTTTACACGGGACGACGACCTGGCGGGGATCGGGGCAGATGCAGATGCGGGTGGGCATAGCCTGAGGGAATGAAGGCCTGGATGGACGGACAGCGAGCGGCGGGCGGGGTCACGGACATTAGAAATTTATATATAAGTGATTCTTAGTTTGTAAGAAATCCTTTTAATCCTAAAACGCTGCCCAAGTTCGAGGAGTTTATTTAAAAAATCCCGAATAAATAAATACAATTTTGCTAAGTTAAGAACACGTGGCACAAGTTCAAGACGTTCACTTAGAAAATTAGGAAAAATAAAATAAAATTGCTATTCACTTTAGAAAACGCTGTAAAAGTTCAAGGAGTTGACTTACAGCATATTAAATTTTGAAAAATTGAGTACAATCAAAAAAAATAAATTAAATCAAACTTTTCTAATGGAATTGCACAACGTACCTGTAGTGGGGTGGAATCCATGCCCGAGCGTCACCGCGAAGAAGGGCTCGCCGGGGAGCAGGTCCTTCAGCTGCCGGAAGAAGTCGTCGGCCTTGGCGCGCGACGCATTGTAGTTGCGGCGGATTTGGAAATGGTAGATGAACAACTTTTAGAAGGAGAGAGGGAGAGAGAGAGAGCGCGCGAGAGAGAGGGAGAGAGCCAGAGAGCCAGAGAGAGGGATAGAGAGAGCGAGAGAGAGAGAGAGGGAGAGAGAGAGAGAGAGCGAGAGAGAGAGAGGAGAGAGAGGGGGAGAGAGTGAGAATGGGAATGATAGCTAGAAAGAGTGAGAAAGAGCTAGCTGCTATCCGGAGCATTGATGTGTTTTGCTTAAGGAATTGATGTGCCATTGAAATACTGTTCAACTTTCATAGTAATAACTTTATTCAATAAAGAAAAGTTAGTTAGAAAAAGATTGTTTATAGTTAAAACAAAAGATAGCTGTCGCGAAAGCCAAGATAAAATAAAATATAAATGCAATTGACAACGCGGTTTTAATAATGAAAGAAAGTGAAGATTTAGGGAAGCCGGGGATGGAGGGATTTTTATTGAATTGTCCACGTGATCGGCTCGATGTTGTTCGCATCTGGCGGTGCGCCTTGCGCGGCTTTGGCACCGCTCGTGCGGTTTAGAATTTTTTCAAATAACAGTTGAAGCTGCTCCCTCTTATCTTCATGAGTGGGCAGAATTCCGCTAGCGATTTCTGAGAGACTCTAGAAAGATATTTTCTGTGAAATAATGTGTTATTGCGGAGAGCCCCTAATCTCTCTTCCAAGAACTCACGTCTAGTGGCTTTGCCGTGCATTCTTTCCCAACGATGGTGATCTGCCAATAGGACCCGCCGGACAAATTCTCTAGCAGCTTTCCGAAGAAGTCGGTCCCCTTAGCGAGCGCTTGGTTGTAGTTATCGGCGTATCGCTTGCGCTTCTAGAATAGAAACTGGCTTCTTGATGGTTCCATCGTATGTTTTTGCTTGTTTGGTTTCGACCATATTTTACCCCCCGCTCCCTTTCCCAGCCAGAAGGTCCCAAAAAAATTTTTTTAATGCTTCTAGGAGGTAGCCATAGGTTCTAGCTAAGAAACCGCGGATCGAATTAAAACAATAAATTTAACAATTTATACGTTTAAATTAGTGTGTAACAGGCTATCTAGATTTTTCTTGTTTTTCTCAAACTGTTTTATATTACTTTATTTCTTTGCAGAAATTAAAACACTGAATAGTTTTTTTGATGCTCTATCGAATGGCTTATTCAATTTATATGAAAAGACTTTACATGAGCCTTATACTATTTTTATAGCGGTTTTAAAATCGATTTTAAGCGCTAGAACCACCATTTTTCAAAAATTTTGTACTTGCGTCGCTCATTTTTCAGTCATTTCAGTCGAAAAGGAGCTGAACTGCCGTCACGTAGGATCTTTCTCGCTGAGTAACCCCCGCTTCACTTACTGACGATTTGTCGGCATGCTCTTTCTTTACCTTCGCAACGATATTTCGCCTCCGCTTTTTATTCGCCGGCCTGAATCCCTGGAATACCGTTCCAAACGCAGAAAATAGCGCTCACCTCTTCATCCGATTTGTCCAGGTCGTACGACAGTGGGATCTGCAACAGCCCGCTGCCGCTAGCTCGCTATCCCGCAATTTCCGGAATTGCGAGCTAGCGGCAACGTATTCAGGCTTGGTAGCACACCGCCTTACTTCTGGTTTCATCATTTCCATTAGGTCTACGAGTTCGACTTTCTCCAAGATGCCGTCGGCCTTATGCTGGCCCATGCAGATCATCGCCCCAGTTACCCCGTATCGTATGTGCTGTAAAGATATAAGCTCGATATCTTCTCCCCGAGACAAAAATCGATGTCACGACCTTTCAAAGTTAGTTTAAAACCTACCCATTTGTAAAGGTGTTCGGCTGACAACTGATCCACGATCCTTCTTTCCTTGTCGAAATTGACGATGGCAATTGACTTGACTTCGATCGGGCTGCGTCCATCATAGCCGATATGGTCGACTTGACTGGTAAGCAGAATCGGGATCCCGGCCCGCTGCATTGTTTCGACCAAGTCGACGAAATACAAGGACCTTATTGACTGGTTGATGACCTGAAATGCTAGCTTTTTGCGGCGGAGGGAGCGGAAATATTGCTAATCATAAGTTTCCCACCTCTTTTGTGCTTGCCTGACTAGATTCGCCATTTTGCCCGGGCGGTGCTTCCCAATTTAGCGACGTATACTTTTCGAGATTTTGTCCGGCGCAGTTTTCCTTCCTAATAAAACCATTTCAGATGACCCGTTTACCTCCTTGGAGTCCGGTTGGGATGCAATAAAATAAAGCTGAACAAGAAAATACATACTTGTCGATGGAAGCGACCCGCTCTTGCTTATTTATCAGGAGCCGATCTGAAACACCACGAATCATAGAAAGCTGTGGAGTAAGCGTACCGTCGGCGAAGCGGACGACGAAAAGTTCCATGTTTTTGATATTGCTTGGATCTTTAAAATCGGTGTTCCACTCTAGCCTGTGCAGAATCTGAAAAAGTTGCACTCGGCCGCTTTGGTTTAATTATTGGTTTCAGGAAGGCCCAGGCTTACACTGGCAAAATCCCCGGCTCCGCAAAAGACCCTGGCCTTTCCGAAGATATCTTCTAGCTGTACACCCGCTTCCAGCTTCTCCAGAACATATCTCAGTCGATGGATGCAACCAATCTGGTTGCTGGTATCCATGCTGAACGTGTCCAAACCTTCCAGCACGTTCTGTCCTAAAATTGGATAGACGAGGACAGCTTTTCCGCACCGGGCAGCTCGGCCAATTTTTCCTCGCTAATAATCGTCGTCGATAATTCTTTGTCGTCAAGCAGCACTTCCCCGTCGCATACCCAATAGTGATCGAGATGTTCAATTGGGACGCGTTCAACGCGAACTGCGCCTTGTTCTGAAATTCCTGCAGTTGTGGCCCCGCGGCTTTGGCTGGTTCCAGGTGCGGCGACCTGGACCGGGTGCGGTGACCTTCCTTGCCCGGCTCCAAGACGACCACGACGACCACCAGGACCGCTGCGATCGCCACGGCCACCACGTGCGACACGTCGAGTAGTTGGCATCGCTTCTTTAAGACACAACTATTTCGCAAAGACTTTTGAACAGAAATTAATTTGAAAACCGAGTAAATTTTGAAAGTGAGATTTGATCCAATGAAACAGGAAAAATAAGCACAAGCAGAAAAAGTTAATTCAATTTTTGTGTTAATCTAGGAAGGCCTAGTAGCCCATTAGAAAGCGTTTTCATCAAGATTTTAGTAATATAAAACCGGGTTTTAACTATAAAACTAACTAAAAATCTTTAAAAAATTTTTAAAAGTCGAAATTTTGGTCGAAAAGCGCTATTTTTGTAGGCTTAATAAAAATTTGCAAAGTTTTTGACGACGTTTAGGGATAATCAAAACGGTTTAGAAACGCTTCCGCAGTTTAGATTTTTAAATCCTTAAATTAAATTAAATTTAAATCCGTAAAAAGAATCAGTCTTCCCAATTTTCCCCGCCGATAAGCTTCCCCCTAGAGATGTTACGAATACGAATACGACATGGGAGTTACGCGTCGTATTCGAATAGGCCGTCGGAATCAAAGATTTCTTATTTCCGACCCGATCATCGTATTCGAATTAGGGTCGGAACCAAGCGAATGCGACGTTCGTATTCGTTTAAACGGGTCACATCGGGATAATAAGCTAATTGGGATGCAAAGCAATATTACGAAGAAAACGGTCGGAAAATGGAAACAAGTAGTCAGAATATGCATAATTTGAATAGATTTAGGTGCCAATTTCTCGGTCATTTCCGGTGGATGTGTCAATATTTTGATATTTGCATAGCATTTCGTCTTCAATTTGAAATTAGCTTTTTATCCCGACGTGAAGCCGACTTGCCAGATCACCACGTCGGAATCAGCCGAGGCTTGTTCGAATACGATCGTCGTATTCGAATTACCGGCATTCTATCAGAAATCAGATATGCATATCGGGCTAATCTGCCGGAAGTAGCACATCGTATTCGTATGCGTAACATCTCTACTTCCCCCCACAGCCCCCCTAATACGAAAGAATCAATTGAATTACATTTTAAATTTTGATGCAAAAATCGTGAAAGTAGAGAAGCGTTTTTAATGACAATGCATGTAGCCGAAAAATATGGATCGCTGAAGGCGTGGGGCAGAAGCGAAGAGAAAGCTCGGGAAGGCGAGAACTTGCGAAACAGGGTGGGAGGAGCTAAGAAAACAAAAGAAAGAACTAAAAAAGCCACTAAGCTTTCATTGTAGAATAAAAATTTGTTGGCGTATCTGCTAACCAACTTCAACACAAACGAAATAAGATTAAATTACCGCCTTAAAGAACAGATGAGGCCAGGAAAGTCTTACTCCAAAATTAAAGCCGGTGAAAAGTCGGTGAAGCCACCGAGCCATCCCCGCAAAGTTGGGCCGCCAAGAATATTGGTGATGGATGCGAATCGCGAAAAAAATTATTGACACTCCAAATGATGCCTCAAGTTTTTGCTACAAGTGCTGGGACGTTTCGCGAAGCTTATCAGCAATGGAATCGACACTTTCTCCATAGGGCGCCTGAAAAATCGAATGGGCAGCAATTGTCGAGTTCGGCTTTAGCCAAAGTGACCATTTTTATTTAACACCTTGAGATGACGCTGATTGATTGTTGTATGTATTCCGACAATTTCAATACGGTAAATTTAAGAGAGAAAAGCGTTTATTCAACACGGCACAGCACAACATCTCAAAATCCAATAATTACAATGTTTTTTACATAAATTAGAGCCTAGAAAATTCGAAAATACCCGAAATTTCAAGTAAACATTCGAAAAAAGCTCAGAACAAACCCCGATCTCCTCGTAAATAATAATACTTATTTAGAACTTTAGAAAAATCTAATTGGACTAATTGAAAGCCGAATTAAAATTATTTTAAATGCCAAAAATAGTCTTAATTCTTACAAATAAGTTAATTAAATTAAACTAAAATACAAAAAATCACAACTCTCTACCACTTGGGCATAAAGAGGGCGGGCGGGGGTTTTGATGGTGGAGGAGGGGAGCGGGCGGAGGAGGTAGATGAACAAGAAGAAGATGTAGAAGATACCGAACAAACAGAATCGTTTCGCTTATGAGGGGGGCGGTAGGGGTTCACAGCTTTACGGAGGGTTGGGAAGGTGGGGGAGGGCGGCGGCGTCGTCGAGGAGGTCGGGCTCGGGCTTCGGCTGGCGGTAGATGAGCAGCTAGACGAGGTGGACGAGGTCGATCCCTGGCGAAGATGCGGCGCCCGGTACCGGGTACAGCTCATGTGAGCTGCCGAAGCTATTGAACAGCTCGGCAAGCCTCGTCCTGACACCGGTTACTGGCGTTATCTCGGCCGCCACGTCGGTGAGCGTCTGGAAAGCCGGAGATTAGCAACGGCGTTCAAGTTCAAGGCGTTCATTCGGGAAATTAAATAACGCTAAGAAAAGGCTGCTCAAGTTCAAGGAGTTCGCTTGGAAAATTAAATAAAAAGTTGCATACTTTTTGTAAAAACCAAGAAAACGTTCTTCAAATTCAAGGAGTTCACTGAAAATTAGGAAACTTCAAATAAAATTTCTATTAAACTTAAAAACGCTGCACAAGTTCAAGAAGTTCACTTATATAGTCAAACTCTATTAAAATGTTGCAAATACAAAAAATTCATCTTAGAAAACTTAAACAAAATTAAGAAAATTGAACTAAATCGAAAATGGCTGAAAACGTACGTGTAGTGGGGTGGGGAGGCGGTCTGGCATCCACTCCGGAGCGTCACCTTGAAGAAGGGCTCGCCCGGCACGAGGTCCTTCAGCTGCCGGAAAAAGTCGTCGGTATTAAGGCGCGCGCCGCGCTGTAGTTGCGGCGAATCTGGAAGTGGTAGGTGAAAGGTCTCAAAGCGAGAAAGAGTGGGAGAGAGAGAGAGAGAGAGAGAGAGAGAGAACCAAAATTCACCTTCCTCTCGTCGCTTGTCCATGATGGTGTCGGGGTGGGATGAAGGCGGCCTTCTGGGAGCTGGCTGCCCGAGTGGAACCCGACGGCATAGCGTCACGTCTGAGGCGCGGCGTGGAGCACCTAAACAATAAATATTAGGATAAAAACAGTAAACCTCAAAAATAACAAAAATTCAGAGCACCTACCCATTGGAGGATGTGTCCTGCTTTCAGCTGCTCCACGGCCGGGCGCTTCACACTGAAGCCCGGCGCACAGAACGTCTTGGTGTCGACGGAGCGGGCGCCGTCGTAGTGGACGTGGTCCACTTCATGGGCCACCAGGATGGTGGGCCCATTTCCGGTCGAGACGGCGTCGACGAAGTACCGGAAGTTCTTGACGTCGCCCTCACCCTGGAAAACCGGAATTAGAAAGGTCGCAAATGGTTTCTGGGTTCTTTAGAATTTCCGGGAAACCAAATTTTTTCCTGGTTTTCCCGGTTGACCTAGTAATCAAATATAAAGTGTTTTCACATTGTTTTTGGTAAATTTTAACTATATTTAAAGTAGAAAAACCTTTCAAAAAAGTTAGAAAAATGTTTGAAAAAGTCGAAAATTTAGTCATTTTGGGTCTTTCCCCCCCGCTAATCCTAAAGGTTCTATAGGATTTTTCGACCTAAAATTAATTTTTTTAATTAAAACCAGGGTTGAAAAACCGCTTCGCGGCTTTTCAACCCTGGCCCCGTCTAGGACCGATGAAAGTCTTCAATTTGCATGCTTCTTCCCCAAAATCTATCAGGAAAAAAGTGAAAAACGGCTCCTCTGTCGCTTTATATAGGCTATCCGACTTCCGGCTTATGCTAATTGATCCCTAACAAAGAGGATGAATTTTACAAAAATTTGTTTTTAATAGCGAAAATAGCAATTTTTCAAAGATTTTATGTGCGTGCAGTCGATTCCGGACCCTTCTTTACCTAATGACGTTTCTTCACTACCGAAAAAATGCTTCCCTGAGGCTGTAGGTGCGGAACATCCTCACGGAAGTTGCATGCAAATGCACACACACACAGACACTATTTTTTATATATAGTAGGATGTGGGTAGTTTTTATGCTCAGGACCAGTTAAAAACCATTTAGAAACGCATGCGCTATTAGAAAAAAATTTAGGCTCGGGCCGAAAAAATTTGGTTTCCCGGAAATACTTCCCCCGGAAATCCTAAAGAACCGGTTTCTGCTAGCCTGCCCTTTCCTAAAAAATCTCTGCTAGCCTACCCATTTAAAGGATCAGTCAAGGCAAAAGACCAAACCCCAAAAAATGCATACCTGCGTGACGTCCCGCCAGTGCTCCTCGGTCGTCGTGAACTTCTCCAAGTTCTGCCCGAGGATTCGCTGCTTCCTGAAAAAAATAACGTTATTAAAAATAGGTACAATTTTGAATAGAAAAAAGCCAAAAAGAATGGAAAAAGTTACTTTTCCTCGTCGGTGAGCGGGGCCTCGACGTCGCCGCGCCACGGCTCCGCCAAGTTCAGCAACAGGCGGTCTGAAAGACGGAAAATAAAATTGGTTAGGAATGGGCAAGCTAGCAGAGATTCCTTAGGAAAAGGCAGGCTAGCAGACCCCCTTAAAAACCCAAAAATTACCGTACCTCCGAGTCGGACAACCAAGATGTCGAGGGGCTTTTCAGGCTTCCGCTGGAGATGGCTGAGGATCTGAAAAAGAGGAATTACAAGGTGTCACACCCTCTTTAGGATACGACAAAACGCATAAAACGTACCTTGCTGTAGTCGCCAGCCCCGCAGAAGACGTCGGCCGGGCCGAAGACGTCCCGGAGCTGCGACCCGGTGACGAGCTTCTCCCTCACATACCGTAAACGGTGGAGGGCGCCCGTCTCGTTGGTCGGGTCGCGCTCGTAGTCCTCCCAACCCTCGTAGAGGTTGTTCTCTGGAAAAGAGAGGAGGGTTACGGTAGGCCAAAATTGACGTTTTAGGCGGACCAGCGGAGATCTTTGGGAAAATAAAGAGAGCGAGAGAGAGATAGAGAGAGAGAGAGAGAGAGCGAGAGAGACTGAGAAACTAGAGAACACTTACAGATTTTAATTTCAATTGAGCTTTACGGAGCAATCTAGCAGAGAAGCTTGAGGAAATAGCAGAGATTCTTTACCAAAGGGCAGGCTAGCATAGATTCTTTAGGAAAGGGCAGGCTAGCAAAGATTCTTTAGGAAAGGGCAGGCTAGCAGAAATTCTTTAGGAAAGGGCAGGCTAGCAGAGATTCCTTAGGAAAGGGCAGGCTAGCAGAGATGCTTTAGGAATCGAGAGGGCAGACTAGCAAAGAAAATTAGGGAAAATCGTTCCCAATACAAAGTAAAAAACGCACTTGACATCCTCTCGATCTCGTGGCTCGGGCGCAGCGTTGTCGTGAAGCCGTGGCATTTCCTCAGCAGCTTCACGGCCCCTCGGTCGACGGTGTACGCGTCTCGACGCACGGTTTTGTACTGAAAAATAGGATTACCGTATTTTTTAAGAGGTTAAAACTGAGATTTTATTTTGCACAATAATAAAAATTCAAGAAATACGGTAATATTAGCATAAGGGAATTCTAATTGAATTGTATGTTAAAAGTTCAAAAAATAAAGTTAGACCTTAAAAAACAAAATTTCAAGAAATACGGTAATATTCGCATATCAATGCTTGAATACAATTCTATTTAAATTTAAAGGCAGGAAAAAGCATCTAGAATTTAAAAAATTGAAAATCGCAAATTAAATTCAACTCGAAATCAAACTAAGCGGTTGAAAAATCAAAACAAAAACGTCTCGAAAAGGCTCCAAAAATACCGTAATATTAGCAATTTTACGCAATTTACGACAAAATGAAAAAAATGATAAAATCGGCTTACCTTCGGCTTGACATCGGTCTTGAGGGCGGCAAAGTCACGGCAAAAACGGTTCATTTTTAGGGTAAATTCGGCGAGAGTACGGTAGCTTTTTAAGGCTTGGGATTTGGAATTACGATAGTGGTTAGATAACAGAGGTTTGTAGTTGTAATTAGCGTATGAGTGCTTTCAAGTGATTTTTCGGTGAAAATCTCGATATTTATACCTTTTCCCCGGGCAGGTGGCAATCTGGCAGCGATGCTGTGGCCCCGGGGTATTGATACCACTTTTTCTCGCACTAATTGATGCAAATTTGCATGCGAAAGACCTGATAGATACCTCGGCGCACTAATGGGGGACGGTGTTCCTTGATTTTGGGAGGCAACCGGCGGATTTTTGCATTTTTGGCGCGTTCCTTCACACCTGGATCCCTGGACGCATTAATAGCTGGTGGAATATTTCACGAAATTTTCATAGCTTTGTAAGCTTAAGGCTAAGCTGAAGCCCAAGCCCAAGCCCAAGCCTGAAACAAAGTCTAAGCCAAAGCCTAGCCTAAGCCGTGCTAACAAGGGGACGTTTTTTAGTGTGAATGGGGTTTTGGGTCGAAACCAGGCCTATTTTGTGCAGAATTTTCCGCTGATTCGGAATATGTTTTCGATTTTTGCTAAATAGCTCGATTTAAAAAGTTACAGCTATTTTAAGATGATTTTTAGGCGCAGAGTAGCCATATGCCATGATGTGCTACTTTTTTGTTTTAATTTTCCAATTTATTTTAAGTAGCCTATCTTGTAGAGAATTTTTTTCTGACTCGCATGGTATATTTGATTAGTGAGCTACTGCCGACCGATGATCACTTACAGGGGTGAGACATAGGCAGTTTTTCACCATCTCCCATACAAAAAAACGGAGTCCATACCAAGTATCGTCAATTTTTTCGATTTTCAACAATTTTGAGTTAAATAGCTCATTCGATAGAAAAAAATTTTCTGAGTACGATGACGATATTTATTTTCGGAAAATCAGCCGGGAAAAGCAACATAATGGGCCTTAAAGATGAGAAAATTTGTGCTAAAAAGATCTTAAAATTGCTGTAACTTTTTAAATCGAGCTATTTAGCAGAAATGGAAAACAGTTTAGGGATCAACGCAAAATTCTGCACAAAATAGGCCTGGTTTTGGCTCAAAACCCCATTCACACCAAAAAACGTCTCCTTGTAAGTCAAGCCGAAGCCTAAGCTGAAGCTGAAGCCTAAACCCAAGCCCAAGCCTCAACTCAAGCCTAAGCTCAATCCTAAGCTGAATTCTAAGCTGAAACCGAAACTGAAGCTAAGCATACGCCTAAGTTGAAACCTAAGCCTGCTATGGTCTAAGCCTAAGCCTAAGCCTAAGCCTAAGCCTAAGCCTAAGCCTAAGCCTAAGCCTAAGCCTAAGCCTAAGCCTAAGCCTAAGCCTCAAGCCTAAGCCTAAGCCTAAGCCTAAGCCTAAGCCTAAGCCTAAGCCTAAGCCTAAGCCTAAGCCTAAGCCTAAGTCTAAGCCTAAACTGAAGCCTAAGCTTGCCTCGTTTATTTTTATTCTCAAATTACTGTGTATACATTCCAAAAAAAATTTTTTAAGATTGTCTGTGTAAATGTGATTTTTTTTTTGAGTGCTGAATTCGGCGCATTTTTTTTGTAATAATCAATGTTTATTGCAGTAGAAAAACACACTTAAATACATCACAAAATCACAAAAAAAATATTTGGTAAAAAATGCACTAAAAAGTTTCAGACCCGATGGCGAGGCAGAGAGGAGTGGAGTGGTCAATTTGGAATGTGGGCACTGGAAGGGCGGGAGGCTTTGGTTTGGGCTTAAACTTGGGCTTAAGCTCGTGCTCAAGCTTTGGCTTAGGCTTAGCTTAAGCTTAGCCTAGGCTTTGGCTTAGGCTGAGGCTTAGCGTAGGCTTGGACTTAAGCTTAGGCTAGCTTGGGCCTAGCCTTAAGCTTACAAGGGAACCAGGGTTATTTAGAATTATTTCGGGCTATTTAGCAAAAATTGAAAGCGGGTTCGGAATCAGCAAAAAATTCTACACAAAATAGGCTGGGTCCCATAACGAAACGCCACCTTGACCTTAGGTGGTTCCCTTGTTAGCTTTGGTCTGGAGCTCGTTGGTAAGTGAATTATCAAAAAAACGGAGGTCAAGGTAAAACATGAGCAAGAGAAAATAGGAGAAGCACATTTTGGGTTCGATTTTCCTATCGTAACGGGTTGCCGGAGACGTTCTGCGTGATTGGACATTGTTGCTGAAAATTGGGAGAATTATGTGGCGTAATCGGATGCCCAATGATCTCTGCTAGCCTGCCCTTTCCTAAAAAATCTCTGCTAGACTGCCTTTCATAAAGAATTTCTGCTAACCTGCCCTTGAATCACAATATTCTCTGCTAGCCTACCAGCCTTTGACCTCCAAAAGGATCCCTGCTAGCCTGCCCTTTCCCAAAGTTTCTCTGCTAGCCTGCCTACCTTCTGGCTATGCCATTCAGCCATGGCCCTCTTATGACCGTCCATCCGCTTGCAGTACTGTCGCTGGGCAGCCTTTAGCGATTCGATCGTCTTCGGCTGCTCACAGTCTTCTGAAAATTGTGGAATCAAGCTAAGCAAAAAAAAACACGCACCATGTTGACATCGTGCAAACAGGGGAAAATATTTCTCCTGTGCCGGACGATGTGGTGAATACAAAATTTGCTGCCCGGCACTTTTGTTGATGGCTTGGGAGGTTTTTGGTGCGTTTTAGAACTTCTGCACTATTTTTCAAGCCGGAATTTTGGTAGCACTGAAGCGTAAGCAACCTAAGCTAAACCGAAACTAAGCCTAAGCGAAGCCGAAGCTAAGCCTAAGCTAAGCCTAAGCTAAGCCTAAGCTAAGCCTAAGCTAAGCCTAAGCTAACCCTAAGCTAACCCTAAGCTAAGCTAACCCTAAGCTAACCCTAAGCTAAGCCTAAGCTAAGCCTAAGCTAAGCCTAAGCTAAGCCTAAGCTAAGCCTAAGCCTATGCCTAATAAGCCAAGCCAAGCCAAACCAAGCCAAGCGAGGCCGAAGCCTAAGCCCTAAGCCAAACCTAAGTAGACCTACCATGATCAACGATCAATCGATATTTGACAATCTGCCTCCCATCAGCCACAGCCTCATAATCGCCGTTGTCCTTCTTGGCGACGTCGAAGAGAACCAGGCCCGATTCTGAGGTAAACGCCGTGCGGGGACCACTGAAAATTGAGCGATTAAAGGGACTTGGAAGCGTTCAAAGTGCTCTCAAATGATCTCTGCCAGCTTGCCCGCTCTCTTCAAAGATCCCAGGATTTGCATATCCCCCAGCTGCTGTTGATCCAAAATGCCCTCGCGGCGCCCTTTTGGGGTGGGGATCGGCTGTGAAAACATCAATATTTTCGAGGCGTTCCGATCGGCAGGGAAAAAGCTGTATAAATGGGACTCGCTTTGGCAGGATAAAGGTGTCGGGGTTTCCATTCGAATCCTAAGCTAAGCCTAAGCCTAAGCCTAATCCTAAGCATGAGCCTAAGCCTAAGCCTAAGCCTAAGCCTAAGCCTAAGCCTAAGCCTAAGCCTAAGCCTAAGCCTAAGCCTAAGCCTAAGCCTAAGCTAAGCCTAAGCCTAAGCCTAAGCCTAAGTCTAAGCCTAAGCAATACCAAGCGTAATCTTACATCTTTTTTAGCGGAAAGACGGTGTGCACCTCGCAGACGCCGAGCCAAGTCGGAGCTACATGAGCCTAAGCCTAAGCTACGCCTAGGCTAAGCCGAGCCTAAGCCAGGCCTAAGTCAAGCCTAAACCCAGCCTAAGACTAATCCAAGCCAAGCCAGGCCAAGCCAAGCCTGAGCTTAACGCTAGTTCCTAAGCCTAAGCCCAAACGTAGACCTAGGCCTATGTCTAAGCCCAAGCCCAAGCCAATAGGGCAATGCTTCTATTAATTTTGTTTTCGCCTAGCCATAAAGAGAACTGTCACCACACCTTTAAAAAGTTTTTATACCAGATTTTTCGATTTCGGTTAATTTCGATTTTTGTAATTAGCTTTATAATCTCGTGTTCGGCAAATCTACAAGATTATCGGCTTCATATTCAATTTAGAATTCTTCAAAGGCAACCGAAAAACATTCTGCTGCAATGCCGAGCCACGTGATCAACGTCAAGTCGAAGCCGGCCCAGGAGGGCACCCACGTGTTCAATGCCTCTTTTCTGGGGCAGGATGAGCGCGAAGCGCTTGGTGGAGGGACGTGGGTATTTTTAAAGGGACTGGGAAGGCCAAATTCATAGAGAAACAGACGGGTTTAGGCTTTAGTAGCCCTTTAAAACGCTTAGAACCTTTGCTCTCTTTTAGTGGACGTCTGATCTGCACCGAACAGTCGCCGCGTGAGGTCGGGGATGTGCTTCAGGTAAATTTCTGTCTCTGTCTCTCCCTGTCTCTCTCTCTCTCTCTCCTCTCCTTCTCTCTCTCTCTCTCACTCACTCGTTCTCTCCCCATGACTGTCTCTCCCCCTGACTGTCTCTCTCTCTCGCTATCTCTAACTCTCTATCTCTCTCGATCGCTCTCACTCTCTCGCTCTCTCTCTTTCCCGCTCTCTCTCGCTCTCTCGCTCTCTCTACGGTAACCCGAAAATAGTCAAATGCCGAATTCGCAATGAATTCTATTTTTTCCAGAACCACGGATGGCGCGAAATCCGTGGTGAAGCTACTCGCACGCACCACGCCTACGCCAAACGCACCCCGGGAGGAAATGACAACGACAACAACGGGCGCAACGATGAACCGATGGACAAGTATTGAACGAGAGACGGAAAATGGCTTGAAAACAACCGGAGATCCCTCTTTTTGTAGTTTTTTTGTATTTTTTGATACCTGGATTCCGATTTTCTCATTTTTTTAATAAAGTAGATTAGAGGCAGATGAGGCACTTTAAGACACATAATTCAACAGCGGGCAAGCTAGTCGAGAAAATTTTGGAATCTAGAGGGTGGGCTAGCAGAGGTCATTTGGGAAATGGCGGGGTGAGACACAGAGATAAGTTAGGGACGGGCTGAAGTTTGGCGGGGATTTTAAGGAATACCTCTCTCTCGCTCTCTCTCCCTCGTTCTCTCTCACTCTCGCTCTCTCCCGCTCTCTCTCTCTCTCTCTCTCTCTAGCTCACGCTATCTCTCTCTATCGCGCTCACGCTCTCTCTCATCTCGCTCTCTATCTCTCGCTCTCTCTCTGTCTCTCCATCTCTATCTCTCGCTATCTCTCTCGCTATCTCTCTCTCGCTCGTTCTCTCTAGCTATAGCTCTCGGTCTCTCTCTCTCTCCCTCTCACTCCCACCTCTCAATCCGGACGCCATCACGTAACCAAACGGAGCCGGGCTGTGTTTCGAGGTGGACAGCATCGCCGGGAAAAGCCTGAAAATTTGGAAATACGCTACAGACTACAATTTTTAAGCGACAAACTACACATGCCAAACACTACAAACTAAACAATTATGATACCTTTGTCAACACCGGCCGTCCAACCGTTTTGCACTCCGGTGCTCCGCGCCCCGCCCACGAGGAGACCCAACTAAAAAATCGAGTATGAGACTGTAATCTCATTTTAAAGGGGCAACGAAGCACAAATAGCCCCAAAAATCCATACCCAGGGCTCTGATGGTGCAGCTTTTCGCGTGCATGGCACTGCGCCCGGGCGACGTTCCACGAGCAGTACGGGTCGATGGCACAGGGCTGGAAAATTGTTATAACGATTTTTTTGAATTTTTCATGTCTTAATCCATTCTCGGGTTTAAATAGATTTTTTACGCTTCTTAAGGATTTTTTCGGAGCATTTTCTCGATTTTTAAGCTAGAAATTGAATTTTCTTTTATGAATTTTTCCCGCATTATTTTCATGTCGTAATCGAACCAAGGGGGTTAATTGTCATTGATGCTTTTTCAGAGTTTTTATAGGAGCGTTTTGACCATTTTTTTTGCAGCTGAAAAGTTGCATTTTAGTGGTTTCCTGTCCGTACAAATTCCCAACGTTTTCAAGCTGTTCAGCCCACTTTCACAACGGTTTTTCGGATCATGAAAGCAAAACGAGTGGGTTACGTGACAAAACTCGGAGGTCACAACCGCCCATGGGTTCGGTCCAGATGGTTCAAGGGAAAGGGCATACTGTACGTGTTTTTCGCGCGTTGCGTGCGGGTGCGCGGAATAGCAACCGGTTTTTAGCTGCGCAGGCCTGCTTTCGCAATTGCGCGACGCGTCTGTCGCACGCGTTGCGGTCTTCCCTCCTTTCCAAAGCTACCGGACGTTTATTAGAAGCCGGGTCGCTGTGAGGTGGGAATTCATGCTCTGAATAACATCTCGTAATCATACGCGGAGTTGTTTTGCATATTGGATTACGCTATCAAATTCGGGCTGGCAACTAGCCGTGAAAAACACCGCGTAATCAAACGCTAAGCTGTTTTGCAGATTCGATTACGCTATCAAAAATGGGCGGGCAACTGGTTGTGAATAACATCGCGTAATCGTACGTGTCCGGAATTAGTCGGGCGATTGTTTTGAAGAAGTCAGCAATTTCCCGATTTTCACTTGTAATCTCATAGATCACTAGTACCCCCAGATTTCGCCACAAAATTCGCTGACACTACCATTTTTTGGAGCGCAAAAACCAAGGTGGGCGGGCCTTCCGTCCGCTTCTAAAAGCGGCTTCTGGTCCCGAAAAACATCGAATAATCACAATTACTCGGGTATAAAAGGCTGGAGGCTCGACGCGGAATCCACAGTACGCTTCTGTACTAACAACTCCTATATTCTCAAGCTCTCCACGCTAAAAACTGCCCGAAATGCCGAACAAGGGCCACGTTGTCAACGTTTCCTCGAAGGGAGGCCAGGGGACTCATGTCTCTAACGCTCAATTCTTGGATCGGAATACCCACTCGTCGCTTGGTGGATCCGGAAAGTACGTTTAAGTCTAAGCCGCAGCCCAAACCTAAGCCAAAGCCTATGCCCAAGCCTATGCCTAAGCCTAAGCAAGGCCTAAGCCTAACCCTATGCGAATGCCTAATTGTAAGCCTAATCCGAAGCCTAATTTAAGCACGGCCTAAGCCTAAGCCTAAGCCTAAGTCTAAGCCTAAGCCTAAGCCTAAGCCTAAGCCTAAGCCTAGGTCCCCTAAGCCTAAGCCTAAGTCTGAGCTTAAGCCTAAGCCTGAGCTTAAGTCTAAGCCTAAGCCCTAGCCTAAGCCTAAGCCTAAGCCTAAGCCTAAGCCCAAGCCTAAGCAATACCAAGCGTAATCTTACATCTTTTTTAGCGGAAAGACGGTGTGCACCTCGCAGACGCCGAGCCAAGTCGGAGCTACACTTCAAGGTATTTTTTTTGAGAGCGAGAGAGAGAGAGGGCAGTGAGAGAGAGAGAGAGAGAGTTATCTCCATTTTTTAGGGCGCCGGCTACCGCGCCCTCGGCGGCTCCACCGCCGGCCACCAGGCCTACGCCAAGAAGTGAGGCTCTACGCGCAGGCCTGCATGCTACTTATCTATCGTCCCGATCCGAAAATACTTTTGCATAATTCTTGTTGAGCATCAAATAAATCATTCGGGATTATTGTTTGTTCCAAAATTGACATATGGGCAGGCTAGCAGAGATTCTTTAGGAAAGGGCAGGCTAGCAAAGGCCATTAGAGAAAACTTCTCACCTGACAAGCCTTCCACTGGCCACAGGCTCCCGGCGAGAATTGAGCAACGCCGTTTCTGGAGGTGATGTAGAGAAATTCTGGAATAACAGACGTTACGATAGCACAAACTACAAAAAATCACCTCCGGGCAACAGGGCGCTCCCCTGTACACCTCCTACTGTCGATAGTACAGATGCGGACTCGATGGTCTCGAGACGCCAATCCGAGCCGTCTCGCCAGTGAGCCAGCCCGCCACAGGCGTGACGAGCTGAAAAAGAGGGACTTGAGTCGTAAGCCTAAGCCTCAGCCTAAGCCTAAGCCTCAGCCTAAGCCTAAGCCTAAGCCTAAGCCTAAGCCTAAGCCCAAACCTAAGCAAAGCCGAGGCCTAACTTAAGCCCAAAGCTAAGCCTATGCCTAAGCCAGGTATGTTCATCTACTTACGGAGCGTCGATGCCAAACACAACGTTGTGCTCCTGACGGCTGTCGATGAGGAGGTGATGGAATACCGCATCCCTGAAGAGGAGTAATTCGAGAACTGGCAGGCTAGCAGAGATTGTTTTCTCGGGAAAGGGCAGGCTAGCAAAGATTCTTTAGGAAAGGGCAGGCTAGCAGAGATTCTTTAGGATCATTCACTAACCGTTGCATAAAAATTGGAGTCTGACTCGAAATCGGGTCCTTCATGAGGAGATGACTTCGCACGAAATTTAGGGCTTCCGGATCGAGAGCCGGTGAGTCGGGGACGCACTAAAGGGAAGCTTAGACTTGGCTTAGGCTTAGCTTGGCTTAGCTTAGACTAAGACCGGGCCAAGCCTAAAGTCTATTGAAGACAGACTTACCGTGCCTGGGCGATGGCCGGTATTCGGATCGGCGCCAACACCAGCTTGGTCATCAGCGAATAGCCCGTGGTCGAAGATCTAGAATATTTGACTTGCGAGGGCCTTTAAAGGGGAGAGAGAGGGAGAGAGAGCAAGAGAGAGCGAGAGATAGAAAGAGAGAGAGAGCGGGCGAAAGAGAGCGAGAGGTAGAGAGAGGGAGGGAGATAGGGTGAGAGAGCGAGAGACTGAGAGAGAGAAAGAGAGAGAGACAGAGTGAGAGAGAGTGAGTGTGAGAGAGAGAGAGAAAACGCCACTTACATGATCAATATCCCTCAGTTGAAAAACGCAAATTGCCGACGAGACAAACGCCGTGGCGGAGCTGCTCATCCCGGCGTAGAACATCGTCTCACCCTCGAACTCGGCCTTGGCTACGGATTCTGAAATCTCAGGAATGAGAACAGCCACGGGATACTCCACGCTACGCAAGACTCCAACTCACGAATATGATCAAAATGGAACGGGATATCCCCCGGCAGCGAGCAGTTCAGCCGCGCTTTGACGTATGACGTCCAGACTTGTCGCATGACTGTCTTCCCGCCGAGGTCTTTCTAAACTTGAACGTCTCGAAGTTGTCGATCAGCTGACCTTGCAGATCCTGGCGACCCTCGAGTATATGCGCTTCATGTCGCGGCTGGCCTCGTTGGCCACCTCGCGGAAGAAGAAGTAGACGTAATCGCCCACGTCGAACGAGCCGACGAATTGGGGTTCTGGAAAAATAGTTCTCAAATGATCTCTGCTAGACTGCCTTTTCCCAAAGAATCTCTCCTAGTCACCCTCTCTCTTCACTCACCATTCAGCCACGAGTCATCCTTGTATATCGTCCGCATCGATGGGTGTATCTCTCTCCCATTCTCGACGAGGGCCGGCCGGTAGATGAGGTGGTTCTCCCCGGTCAGCCCGGTCCGGATTCCGGAATACACCGCCGTCAAGGCACGCGGGTTACCATACTCTAAAAAGTGGGGCTGAGAAAGAGCGAGAGAGAGAGAGAGAGAGAGAGAGAGAGAGAGAGAGAGAGACTCACCAACAAGTACAGCCGTCGTGTTCATCTCCCGATCCGGGGCGCAGAGCCCGATGATGGTTTGGGGCTCGCTTTTGTCTTCGAGCCGGCTGACATCGACGATGCGCACCTCGGGCTTGTGGGCCGATGAGGAGCAGATCATTAGACTCTCGCGTTGGTCTCTGAAAGAATGGGCAAGCTAGCAGAGATTCTTTAGGAAAGGGCAGGTTAGCAGAGATCCTTTCGCACCACCGACCTCAAAAACATCTTCCGAACCGAATTCTCGCATTCCTCCTCCGAGTTCCCGGCCGCCCTGCACTCGGCGAGCTCGCTGGGCGACACGCTGAGCAGCTTCTCGGTGAACTAAAGATTTTTCAGGCTAAGGTTTTTGTGAATCTCCTACCAATTTCTCGCTAGTATCATTGACATTGTAGGCCCAGAGTCGGAAGAGACGGCCTCGAGCTCCCACGAAGAGTGAAGCCGATTCGGCGTCCAGGAGTACGGATCGGTAGTCGAGGGGGCCACGGGAGAAGGAATATTCTGAAGACGGGCTTGGCTTAGGCTTCGGTTTTGGCTCAGGCTTAAACTTGGACTTAGGCTTCGCTTAGGATTAGGCTTAGTCTTAACTCCAAGCTTTTCCTTTTTGCTATAGAGGCCAGAAAACAGATCATCGACCCCTTCCCCTCGACTAGGGATTGACATTTTCGCAGAGCGAGAGAGAGAGAGAGAGCGAGAGAGAGAGAGAGAGCGAGAGAGAGAGAGAACACCATGATCAAGCTGACGGGCCCTAGACGGCACCGGACTTTCAGAAGGTCGAGAAGTTTCTCTCTTTTTCTCTGTCTCTCCTTCTCTCTATCTCTCTCCCTCGCTCTCGCTCGTAGAAATACAAAATATGCAAATTTCATGGCTAGATCTCAAATCTTACCTGGCTGCCGAACAATCCGAGAAGCCGCGCGAAGTAGCAATAATTGAAGTACGAGTTGAAATAGTAATTCCCGCATGGTAGTCGTGGATTCGTTGGGTCGATTGGTCGAGGCGAAGATCCGCACGTTCGGGCCGTCACCTCATGCAAATTGCACACCCCACGCTGCTCCTCGTGTTTCCTGGGGGTCACCTGGAAACCCCAAAAAATGTAGGGAAATCGGGGGGTTAGGAATAGAGGGCAAGGTCGGCAGGAAACTAGACGTAGAAAAATAATGCAAACTATAAAAACTCTTGAATACGATTAAAAATTGAAAAGCGCTGCGATTTTGTCAAAAAAAAAATATTTTTTTAAGGGTAAAAGTCTCGTTAAAAACAGACCAGGGTTGAAAAGCCGCTTCGCGACTTTTCAACCCTGGCCCCGTCTGAACCCATGATATTCTGCGCTTTGCATAATGTTAGCGATTTTTGATGACAAAATGAGAAACGATACCTCTCTTCCCTTATATAGGCAACCACAACTTCCGGCGCATGCTAATTGTTTCCTAACAAAGAGGGTCCTGGATTTTTCAACAAAAACTTAATTTTAACGTCGAAAACAGTAAATTTTTGAAAATTTTATTAGTGTGCAGTCATCCCAAGGCCATTACGCACCTAGTGACGTATAATACATGCTCCTAACTGACCCCGTTATTAAGATACTACTGGAACACGCTGACGGAAGTTGCATGCAAAGTGGCACACACACACACAAACACTATTTTTTTATATATAGTAGGATAAAAAGTTTCCAACGCTGTGCCAAGCTTCAGAAAACCTTAAAAATAACACAAAATCACAATCAAAATTATGAAATATGTTTATTTTGCATAAATTTTTTACGCGCTATTGAAGGCCATTTTGTCGAAAAATAGTTGTCTTTTTCAGGCTGAAAGTCTCGTTAAAAACAGATAAAAAAAGTTTTCAAAGCTCTTCCGGCTTCCGAAAATTTTAAAAAGACCGCAAAATCTAATTAAAAACATATGAAATATGTCAATTTGGCATCAAGAATCTTTTTTAATACAATTTTAGGATTTAAGGAACCAGGAAATGGTACGAAAAATTTTACGAAACAATCTAAGGCTTAAAACCCGGATGTAGAGCCCCTAGAAGTGATTACGCCACGTAAAGCATCTTAAAATGGTGTTTGTATAGCCTGGGTATCGTTTGGAGGGTAGATATGCAAATAGGGTATCCTGGAAGGGTGGGTGCGAGGGAGGAAGGTCAATCGATGGCCACACACCCAATACCCTAGCCCTTTTCGGGAAGAGAGAGAGAGAGAGAGAGAGAGAGAGAGAGAGAGAGAGAGAGCGAAGTGTGCATGTGGCCACAGGGGACATCCGAAGGCCGTAGGGGACAATTCAATCAGCATCGACTGCCCATGACAGACATCTGCCCCCTCAAGGCATTTCTGTCAAACGGGGGCAGGCTAGCGGAGATCCTTTGATCATGACAGGGTAGCAGGGATCATTTGGGAAACGGGGGTGGGTGCTAGCAGAGAAAATTGAGGAACTGAGGATCCGCACCGAACGAAACTTGACTGCTGACGAAGCGCACGGCAGTCTAGCAGAGATTTTTTAGGAAAGGGCAGGCTTGCAGAGATTTTTTAGGAAAGGGCAGTCTAGCAGAAATTTTTTAGGAAAGGGCAGGCTAGCAGAAATCATGTAGGAATGCAAATCCAAGCGTCATTAGTTTTCAAGCGGATTCTCGGCCCCAAACCCCGGCCCATTCATTCATCGAGTGCCAGCGACGACATTGAAGTAGTTTGAGGCCCAGCTAGGCCCATTGGGCCCACTAGCAAAACGAGGGCCCTAACGGGGCCCTAAGCCCAACCCATAATCGGATTCGCCAATATGGATGTATACTGCTGGGTCGGGGACACGAATATTGTGTGCTCTCTGGGGTATCATAGGGCAGCCCGGCCGGATGATACTAATTCTAACAAGGGAAGTGGCTAGGCGCCTAAGCCTAAGCCTAAGCCTAAGCCTAAGCATAGGCCTAAGCCTGCCAAAGCCTAAGCCTAAGTCTATGCTTAAGCCTAAGCCTAAACCTAAGTCTAAGCCTAATCCAAGACCAAGTGTAAGCCTAAGCCTGAGCCTATAAGCCCAAGCCTAAGCCTAAGCCTAAGCCTAAGCCTAAGCCCAAGCTTAAGCCTAAGCCTAAGCCTAAGCCTAAGCCCAAGCTTAAGCCTAAGCTTAAGCCCAAGCTTAAGCCTAAGCCTAAGCCTAAGCCTAAGCCCAAGTTTAAGTCCACACCCTTTAAGCATTTTAAACCCTCTAATATGGCTACCAATCGATAGAACTCGTCCAGGGCTTTCAGATGATGGACCGGAAGTCGAGGAAAAACCGATGCCCGCGATCTTAACTTTTCAGGGAGCCGACGTCGTGGTCCGGGACGGCACGCAAAATTTTCGAAAACTTTAGCTTAAACTCGAACCGGCTGAAATTCACAGGGTCGATTCAGCTGGTCTTCAGAAGCTCAGAACAGGTCTCAGAATTCTGATCTCTCATTCCAGTGAAAAGTCATAGGCTTCAGAAAACTTTTAGCTTCTGGTCCTGATATGAAGCTTTCAACCTTTTCAAAACCCTGTAATATGGGTACCATTCGATACAGCTCGCCGAGGGCTTTCAGATGATGGGCCGGAAGTCGAGGAAAATCCGTCCCAAACCGAGAACCCCGCGATTGTTTTGAGGTCATAAACGTCGGAAGTGATATGGGGGTACCATTTGCCTGCGCCCTCTCAATTCCCGCGCTCTCTCGGCCCTTTTTCTCTGTGCCTCGACGCAAATGGCTGGGAATGGCCATGCTATCGATTCTGCCCCTATCCAAACGCCAAAGATACGGGTTATTTGGTGTGGAACACTTCTAAAATATTGAGAATAAGTTTTCCAATATTCTGGACCGTCTAAAGCCACTTTTTAGGCTTATTTTGATCTTGGAAATCCTTAAAAACTTGTATTAAATCTGTTCTTTTACCTTCACGTACCAAAGTTATGGTTATTTAGCGTGGAAATGATGTACAAATCTTTTTATTACGTATTAAGGCTACTTCTAAAGCTGATTTTAATCTTATAAATCCTGAAAAACTTGTTCTAAATCTAAACGTTTGAATTATCCATTGTAAAAAAGGGTTTTAAAGCCCAATTTTCTATTAAGAAATCATCAATGTCTTTCCTTAAATTATATAGGGCTTTCCAGGAATTTTATTGCTGCGAAAATTCGCTTAATAATAGTTTTTATTGTTTATAAAGCTTGAAAACGAGTGGTAAGTCGCTATCTTTTGCCTTATCGAGTGGAAAATAGCTTTTAAAAGCTTTTACGACCAATTCTAAGTTATATAAATCGTTTTCCAGCATTTTCTTGCTGTGCAAATTCCTGAGCTTTCAGCTGTCAAATCGGGGAAAGCCGAGCAGCCCCGGGCTTTATTTGCAGCCCCCGGGGCCCCAAAAACCACCCAAAAGCTATCGGATTCCCCATTCTGAAACTTCGAAAAGTTTTCTCTGATTTTCCAGCTCGTCTAGTTTTCTTTTATCAATCGAAAGGCTTTGATGTGGATGGCCAGCGCGGCGGATCATGAATCACACATGTTTGTATTGCCGTCCGGCGACCTAAAACCCCTTTTCAACGTGAATTTCGAAGTTTTGATAGCACCGTTGAGTCTTTTGGGTCAACAAAAAGGTTAGGAGCTTTGGTTGGAGTAACAGGAAAACTTTCAGGACTTGAAAATACCATTTTTAGCTTTAGAACCTGGTTTTGGATGGGTGAAGCTCTTGGAAAAGCTTCCGTTTTCTGAAAATCTACTTTTCAAGCTACAGAAATGGTTTTTGGCCGGCTTCTAAAAGTTTCAAGCGCCTTCTTCTTTCTAAAAGTTACAAAACTCACGAATTTTAGGCCAGACACCCTCACAAAGCTTCCGCCTTCCTCTTTTTATCAGTTCTTCGCCTCGTCTTACACCCAGTGCCCGCAGACCGCACATTTTCAGACTTATCGATGAGAATCGAGCCCGAGATTTGGTATCTAAATTTGCTACAAAATCTCATCTCGACTTGTGAGGCTTACTCTCCGGCTAACTTTCCCCTTTCATCATTACCCTCAATTTTTCGACGCTTTAAATTATACCTGCATCCACCAGTTTTTTTCATTAGTTTTAGGGCCGTTGCCCTCAAAATTGATAAGCCCGGGGGCTGTTGAACTTTCGCGGCAGTCTAATCCCTCATGTCCGATTGTACGCAGCGGGTTTTGAGCTCTTTTTTGTATGCTTTCTGGTTTTTTTATTTATTTTAATGGGAAAGTTAATACTAATCATTTTTAGGGGATGGCCGACGAGGAAGAGCGGGTCGTCCTGCTCGGCAACGGCAAGGAACCAGAAGCGACGCGGGTTCGCCTGGAGAATGGGCGACGGACACGTTCAAAGGTAGATGATTTTTTATGAATATTTCAAGGCTATTTCGTTAATTCTGGGGGTTTTTATGGCGCAAAAAACCGGTGAAAAAGCGAAAACTCCCGCAAATTCTTTGAATAGAATGATTGCATAAACTTTTTTTTGATGAGCATTCTAAAAGTTGCGCTTTCCAGGAAAGTCCACTCCTCGTCGCGACGCCGGAGGGCAACGAAGATATCGCCGACGACTCGCCGCTGCCGTCAATGTCTGCCGCGCCGGTGGTCGTCAACTGCGCCTAGCACACGCGCCAGGAGCAGCAGGTTGGAGATGCTCAATTCTCGAGAATCCCCGCTAACCGTCCAGATCCCTCGGGTTTTCTACCCTTTAAAATCCTGGTACGCCCCCGCCCTTTGTAGGAGCCCACCTATTTTCGTCAGCGCCCCCCGCGGGTTCGGTGACCTGATCGATCGCCTTATGCAAATCCATCTCTTCATAACTCGCCAGGGAATACGGGAGCGCGATTTTCATCCCCAGCCTCAAAAAGCGGGGGCACACACACGGCCGTCCTTTCGCTTTTGGTACGCAGGCAGCATGTGATCATCACTTTAGCGTTTGAGCTCGTGTGTTTTTGGCCATGGAAGGGCGCGTGCCAGCGCTTTCTCTCCCTTCGATTATGCCTGAAAATCTGATATAGAATCTTTAAAAATCTAAAAACTATAATTTTCGCTTTATGCCGAATTCGAGTCATGAAATTCTAGAATCTTTAAAGATCTAAAAACCTATGGTTTACTTGTTTTGCAGAGCCAAGAGCCGGAGGAGATGCTCGACACCCACAGCGAGCCGCCATGCGCGGTAGACGATCAGCATAGGTTGGTTTTTTCTATCCCAAACGTATCCGGGCATCTCTGCTGCCCCTTTTCGTTATGACTCGCCCCCAGGCGGCCCAAGATTTTGGAAATTGCTTCTT